GACGGACACCCGGGAGGGGGCCGGCAGACAGAGTCCAGGGAGGAGACGATGGAGGGAGGAGCCAGGGAGGAGACAGGAGGGGCTTGGAGCAGGAGGAGTCCAGCTGCATCCAGGCCACAGCCATAATGACGGCCCACTTTGGAGCCGACGGAGGGAGGAGCCATGGAGGAGGAATGGCCGCCGACTCCAGGGGCCCGACCAATGGCAGCGGAGCAGGTGGTGGAGGAACCCGAGGCGGAGATGGAGAGCCCACGAGCCAGGGGGATGCAGAGGATCCGGGGGGCCAGGGTGGAGCCGAGGGCTCTGGCGACCAAGGCGGAGATCCGCGGTGGAGCCGGAGCAACTGAGGACCAAGGTGGAGCTGGCAGGAGACAGGAGCCCAATAGAGCTGGTGGGACTGAGCAACGAGGTGCAGCCGGAGGAGCGGAGTCCTGAGGCGATGGTGGGTGGGCATTTGTGCATCTCCGGGCATTCAGGGCTTAACTCTGGATTGGAAGCCCCGTCTAGGCTGAACACGGGAACAGGATGGCGTTCAGGAGGAGCGGACACTTGAGGGCGCTTACGAGGAGCTGGCACTGGAGGGCGTTTTCTAGGAGCGGGCACTGTAGGGCGCTCTGGACTGGATTCGGGGACTGGAGCCCTCTTCTCTTCGCTTTGGAACTTTCGCCGCACCATACTCAGCTCACCCTCAGCCACGGTGCAGAGGGCGGAGCTCCTCTCTGCGCTTACAGCACCCGCGGCTTTCTTCCTCGTGGCGGGCATTGTCATCGGATCTCGCACCTGGCCTGACGGCTTGGGCTCTACTTCCAGGGCGATCCTCCGTTCAGTCGCTCGGCATTGCGCTGGCTCGTAGATCGCGGCGGGAATTGGCTCTCCGTCATCGGTGGGCTCGGGCTTTAGCTCCACACAGCGGGGAGATGGTGGGCTGGGCTCTGGGTCCGGAGTGGATCTTTTCTCGCCAGAATCCACTCCACAAACGCGCCGAAATCCTCTCGAGGACCATCTTCAGACGACGGCGCTCTGCTCGCGGTGTTCAAGCTTGCGTCATAGAATGAGCAGAGCACGTCGTCTGGGTAGCTGGTGGTGCTAGCTAACAGCCAGAACAGTCTTATATGGTCCTCGAGAGGTCAG